CATTTAACATAAAATACACAAATACAATATTTAAAATTCTATACGATAGATAAAAAATTTCAAAATATATCTTAAAAAATTTTCAAAAGATGTCTTTGAATTTTTAATATTCATATTTTTAAAATTCACACTTTAAAGATATTATTATTTAAAATCAGTTTAATTTTTCATTTATATATCTGAATTTTCAAATAAATGAAATTAAAATAAAAATATATCCGAAAAATAAAATTAATTAAAATTTTTGATTAAGGGGGGAACACCAGTTGTAACTTTCGAAAAATCGAATTTTTTTTTTGTGCATTTTCTTAAAGTATACATATTTAGAAATGTGTCTGTAAATTTCAAAGTTGATCCGGTGAAAAATAAATGAGATATACAGAACACTGCAGCGGCGCGTCCCGTGGCTTTATACAAGGTGGCCAGCCATACCTGACCCTAACGACACATGGCCTTTTCCTATGATTTAGAAACGGCAACCACTGCGGAAGAGTTATTATATGGTCCAGGAATCGATGACTCTTTGTAACTTGGAAACAAAATTTCTCCTGAACAAAAAAAAGTAAGTTGAAACTTTGAATGCGTTTTTCTCAAAATGACATTTTCCAAGTCGGTGACCACGATTACTCGAATACCATTAAACCGATTTATTTAAAATTTAGTGTGCTTCATTTACACATATAAGTCTAGTTCGTGATCGAAGGATTTTTTTTTTTATGCAAAACTTTTTTTTATATAGCTGAAAATCGACCGTATTTTTTTAACGAAAATCATACTTTTGACTTTGACAGGTCGCCAATTTGTCAAATTTTTTTTTTTTTTTAAATCCTTCGATCACGAACTAGATAATCTTATAATAAATGTAAATCAATTTCATTTTTGTATTTCAGACGAAGTATACTTGCAGAATGCTGGTCACCGCAATTCGCCTTTTTTCTTAAGGCGCCACTTCAATGGCTCATATCTCCAAAAGTTTTTGTTAAAAAAATTTTTTTTTTCTTTTAAATTACAGCTTTTTACATGTACTTTTAACTAATAAATAGTATTCTTTAAAAAGATTCATTGTTCTTTTGGAAAATATTCTTGTATAAAGCATTATTTTTTGAGTTACAACTGGTGTTCCCCCCTTAACAAAAACATTTTTTATAAAATTTTTAAATTTTTATTTAAATATTAATTTAACCTATATGTAATAATTGAAAGTTAATTATTTATTACTGTATTTTGTTAATAAAAACAATTCGGCCCAGCGTTCTGCAGAAGTCTTCAAAAAACTGTATAGTGAACATTATCTTATTTAAATATGGTTTAAAGAAGGTAAGTTTAAAAATTAATAGATAATAAGTAACCTGAAAGTCACGTGAAAAATTTTCAAATTCGAATGATGTTTCATTCACTTGTTTGTCACTTGTTTTAAACTATTAAGGTTATACACGGTGTTCGTTGATTATGAAAAATGACAAAATTAATCGCAAATGAAAAAATAAGTTTTAACAGCCTTATCATTATGCCTTTAATTTTTCCCTTCATGGAATTGTTGTTTAAGTTTCAAGCTTTCATTTGAACCCAAGAACAAGATTCTAGCACCTCTTGTTTTTATTTTATTCAAATTCAAATATGGCCAAAAACACGCATTTTCGACTTTTTAACACTAATTTTCTCAGAAACTGGACGTACTAGAGCATTTTTATTTGCAGATTCGTAATCAGCGTGTAAAAATCTATCGAAAGTGACCGGAATTATCCGAGGGGCAAAATCATTGTCGGACAGTGTTAGTTGAACCGTTACATCTTAGCGTTAGAAAATTTTATTTTGCTCAGACTATGGTGGCACGTCAGGTTTATAGACCAGTATCGTCAAGACTAAATTGAAAATACAAAATTTAAAATCTAAATGAAATTGAGGAGTCAATGAACTTAGATGTAAACAGCACGTGGAAGTGAAATATTTTCAGAAAAATAGAATCACGAGTCTAATTTGGAAATTAAAGGGAAGTATATTTTGTTTAGATACATTATATGTCTTCATTTTTATTAATAGTGGAATCATTAATTTTTATGTGTAACATTTCTGAAAAACATCGTTTTTTATAATTTTGTTCACGGTCTAGTATAAGAACATTATCCCAGTCAAACTCGTGATTCAATTCTGATCCATGTAATCCTACGTTTAGATTCTCCAATGTAATTCGCTGGACAGTTTTTACAATTAAATTTATAAACAATGTTCGTTTCATCCCACTTGTCAATAGGATCCTTACCTAATTTTATAATAGATCTTAAAGGTTTATTAACTATTGGAATAGTATGTATATTGTATGTTTTTAGAATTTTTGACAATCTAATGAAATTTGAGTTATTATAAGGTAAACTAACTTTAGGAATTTTTTTTATATAAAAGTGCTTGTGAATTTACAATATTATTAGAATTATTATCATTATTTCTTTTATGAAATTTAATGCTATTTAAACGAATTTTAGTATATTTTTTAATAAATTTAAGTGGATAATCATTGTTTTGTAAAATATTATTAATTTTCATTAAATTGTCATTGTGAAAGGAATGATGTGATAATAACATTGCTCGGTCTACAAGGTTATATACAATGTTTATTTTTTGTTGGAGTGGGTGATTTGAAAAGTAATTGATGAGTCTTCCAGAAGAAGATGATTTTTGATACCAATTATATGTAATGTTATTATTTTTTATAATTATAGAAATATCTAAATAATTGATTTGATTGTTATCTTGTTGTTCATAGGTGAATTTTAATTTATTGTGATAAGAATTAAAAGTTTCAATGACAGGGTTAATATGATCTTTATGTATACATAAAATAGTGTCATCAACATATCTAAAGTAAAAAATAGGTACACAATTATGTTCAATTTTTAATTTTTTAAGGCAATCACTTTCCAAATCATCCATTACAATATCAGCGAAAAACGCAGAAATTGGAGAACCCATAGGAGTACCACCAATCTGTTGATAATATTTTCCATCGAAGACAAAGAAGGTGTTTTTATAAAGAAAATCAGTGCAGTGTGAGATATCATTAAAGGGGAATTTACAATTATTAATAATTGTGATAGTTAATAAACCTTTAAGATCTATTATAAAATTAGGTAAGGATCCTATTGACAAGTGGGATGAAACGAACATTGTTTATAAATTTAATTGTAAAAACTGTCCAGCGAATTACATTGGAGAATCTAAACGTTCATTAAAAACACGTATTAATGAGCATAAAAATACTAAAAATAAAACATCGGATCAATCAGTAGTAGGATTACATCGATCAGAATTGAATCACTAGATTGACTGGGATAATGTTCTTATACTAGACCGTGAATAAAATTATAAAAAACGATGTTTTTCAGAAATGTTACACATAAAAATTAATGATTCCACTATTAATAAAAAAGAAGACATAATGTATCTAAACAAAATATACTTCCCTTTAATTTCCAAATTAGACTCGTGATTCTATTTTTCTGAAAATATTTCACTACCACGTGCTGTTTACATCTAAGTTCATTGACTCCTCTATTTCATTTAGATTTTAAATTTTGTATTTTCAATTTAGTCTTGACAATACTGGTCTATAAACCTGACGTGCCAGCTTAGTCTGAGCAAAATAAAATTTTCTAACGCTAAGATGTAACGGTTCAACTAATTATTGGTAATTGTTATTACTTGTGCATTTTTATTATTTGAAAAAAAAGATAATGTGGTGTTATAAATAAAATTATAAATATTTTCATTAGATTTAACCTGAAGATGATGACGAACCAAGTCATCGAAACGTCGTTTCTTGTTTTGTGACAATAAACAATATTAATAACATACATTTTTTATGTTATTTTATTCCTTCCAAGGATCGAATTTTTCTCAACTTCTTATCATGTTTGTTTTTGCAAATTCAATATGGCGGGTGAAATTTAAAAAATTCACCAGAGCATTTTGAATCTCATTACATTACTCAGGGGTTTTAGAGAACGCTAAATATGAATATATTGTTAGATTTTAATAATTCAAAATGGCGGATCTAATACCACGACGAAAAAAATTTAATTAGTTTGGAATTTCTCGAAAGTTGTTATTTGAGGATTATCGGCAATGCTAGTTTTCAATTAAAGTAAATATTTTTTTACCGTTTAGGGAAGGTGTATAGATAAGTTGTAATAGATGGTATGAACTATTTCATTCATAATAGCAGTCGAAGATGAATAAATGGAGGCGCGTAGCGCGTAAAAATTAGTTCTAGTATAATGTTAAAATAAATATTATTATTATTCTACTCTCTTAATCTGAATTAGTAAAAATGTTTACTAATTTGAATTAGTGACTCACTTTTTGCTTCTGAATTGGTAAAATTTTACTTATTAGTGACTCGACACTTTTTGCTTCTGAATAAGTAAAATTTTACTAATTCAGAAGCAAAAAGTGAGTCACTAATTCAAATTAGTAAACATTTTTACTAATTCAAATTTAGATAGAAGGTTCAAAGAATTTTTTAAGACAAAAAAAATATTTTCTTTTTTTTTGAAAACTCTACAGTGGTGTAACCTCTTAAGGTTCTAATTTTAGGTTTACTGAAGCTGCAAAAAAATCCTGAAACACTTAACATCAACTTTATTGGAATAGCCTTTAATCAGCAACCCTAAAAACCCCTAAATACCGAGTTTCATAAAAATCTGATGATTTTAAAAATTTTTTTGTCCGCCATTTTGAATTTTTGAAAAATGACTTTGGATTCGTATTCAGCGACCTCAAGAACCTCAAAGTAAGAAATGGTGTAAAAATTAATTAAAGCAATTTTGACCACTGTACCAAGGGCTTCTGCCGCGGATGATTCTAATTCTAGATAGGCTTAAAAATTAAGCAAAAAGAAATCGATTTTTTGAAAATAGTATTGTAGTTAAGCTAATTAAGCTCTTGAGCCATCTGGATGAAATTAATTAAAAATGTAAAAAGTTAATAAATATTTTATATTATAGGTAGCAAGAACACGGGAAAGACCTCTAGCATCTGGTGATGTAACACAATTTCAAGCATTAGTATTTCTTGGTGGACAATTAAGTTTAGCGCTTTTAATTTTATTGCAACTAAACTGGTACAGTATTCTGCTCGGTGCAAGTTCATTGGGTTAGTAGAGCTGCTATTTTTTATTAAAAAAAAAACACAACTGATGATTATTAATTAATTCTTATAATGTGCGATTATTAATTTTTCAGGCTTAGTGATAATTTACCCTCTAATGAAGAGAGTGACTTATTGGCCTCAATTTATATTAGGAATGACATTAAATTGGGGTGCATTGCTTGGATGGTCGGCAATTCATGGCACTTGTAATTGGTCAATTTGCTTACCTCTCTATATGTCTGGAATTTGTTGGACTATTTTGTATGATACAATTTACGCTCATCAGGATAAAGTCGATGATTTAATTGTTGGAATTAAATCGACGGCTCTTAAATTTGGCGCTAATACAAAACTCTATTTATCTGGATTTGGAGCAAGTATGGTTGGTGGATTAATTACATCCGGTTTAATTGCTGAGCAGACATTGCCATATTATATTTCTGTTGGATTAGTTGCCGGTCACATTACTCATCAGGTAAGCGAAAAGAAAAAATGTAACTTCTTTTTTTAAAATTATTATTCTTGTTAAAAATAATTTTTCAATTGTAAATTTCAGGCTTCATAGTTGTCACCCTTTTTCCCTATTTGTCCCTAAAAGTACCCTATTTGAAAAATTTTACCCCATTTTTAACAAAAAAAATTAGTATAAAGCTTTGATTTTTATGAGAATATATTTTTTTAAATATTCATTTTTTACCTAAAATTTAATGAATTTATAAATAATGTTTGGATAGAATAATTATTTATCAAATAATTATCTAACATATTATATAATCGGGACGCATGAATATTCCCTTAATTATTAGACTTGCCGAAATTTTTATCGTGTCGAATTAAAAATATTATTGAATTTACATTTTAGTAGAATTTTAAAAAATTAGATTTTATAATGAGCCCATTTTTAATATCGAAAAATTTCTATTTAAAAAAATTCTAAATTTGTAGATTTTTTTATTAAACTGAACTTTGATAAAGCAGATTTTCTAAAATATTGAATTTTCAAATAATACATTTTTAATTTAACAAAATTTATGTCTCGACAAATTATTATAAAAAAGAATTTTTATTTATCAAAATTGTTCTTTTGTCGAATTTTGTTAATAATTTTCATTAACTCTAATTTACAATATTTTTTCTCTTAACAATATTGAGTATTTAAAACTGTAATATACTATGGAAAAATTTGAAAAACAATGAATTCATTAATAATTTTTTAAATAAAACTCGAAATTTTCAAAACTAAAAATTTAAACGGTCGCAAATTTTATTATTTTTTATTACTTTATGGACTTTTTTTCATGATTCTGAACAGTCAATAGTATGGATTTTGAAAAAATTCTTTTTTGACAAAAAAAAAAATTCTGAAAAATAAAAAAAAATTGTTAAATTGTTAAAAATTACCTTTTCTTTCATTTTTCATAGTGAAATATGATTTCAGGTTCTAAAAAAATTGAAAAAAAAAATTGTTACCCCTAAACAAAACCAATTATGTTTCGTTTAAATTTTATCAATTATTCCTTAAAAATTCCACTTCTTCCACAATTTTTATTATTTTTTATCAGCAATTATTTTGTAGGCTTTTTCATGATTCTGAACAATCAATCGTATGGATTTTTGAAAATTTAAATATTTTGAAAAAATAAAATTTCTAAAATGGTAAAAAAAAATTTTTTTTTTTTTAATTTTGATAATTCACAATAATTTAAGTTCCTAAATAATGACAGAAAAAAAACTGATACCCCTAAACAACATTAATTTCGATTAGTTGAAATTTTAATGGTCCCTCCCCTTAAAACATTTTTTAAATTCAAAATTCTGTAAAATTTCATTATTGTTTAAAATTTTTAAAATAATTTTCATTAATTCAAATTTACAATAATTTCGATTACTTTCAACTCAAATTCTTTGTTGAATTAATTATTTCTAAAAATTAAAAACTAATATTCTTTTTTTAAAAATTAAATTATTTAAAACATATTTCTTAATTAAAATTTTTCTAAACATTACTATTTAAAATATTTGCCGTAATTCTGTATTCGAATAATTTTTATAAATTAGACGTAAATTTTTCTTAAAACAAAAGTAACTAAATTTTTTCAAAAATTTGTTCTTGAAATCTTGAAAATTTGTCTCATTTTAATTTTAAAATTTATTCTAAATAAAAATTTTTGAAAAGATTTTTATGAAACAATTTTATTAAGAAATAAATATAATTTATTTAATTTCTAATAATAAAATATTTGTTAACTAATTGAATTTATTAAAAATAAAAAAATAAACTTTTTTCGATATAAATTGACTAAAACGACTTATTTGGTAGATTTTGTATTAAAATGTTGAATAAAATTTGATAAATACCTAAAATTTTTGATGTAGAGAATTATTTCACTATATATCGATTAAAGTCATTGTGAACAAATTTTTTAAAAAATTTTTAGAAATGATTTTGTAAGATATTTGGAGTAGATTTTTAATCAAAAATAAAATTTCATATACAGAATATGTTTCTGAAACTTTTGATTCAGGAAATGGATAAAATTTAGTAAAAAAATTTTTTGTATCAATTATTTGAAACTTGTTAACTATAAATTAATTTTAAAATTAAAATTCTTAGAATAAAGAGATTTTCAAAATAATTGCCTCGAAGAGTTAACAATGGAAAGTTTAATGATATTAATTAAATTGCGAAACCTCAGTTTCACTAATTTATAAATGAAAAATTATAAAATATGTTTTCGCAAAACAAAAATCAAAGCTGTTCTAAATTTTCGATTTAACCTATAAATTAACCCTTTATCTTTATTTATGTAATTTTCATAGTACCCTAAAAGTTTTTTTTTTTATTTTCAGTCCCCTATTTCCCTTAAAATATTTTTTAGAATCACTATAAAGTCTGAAATTTCCAATTTTTACAAAAAAAAAATTAAAATATTTTTTTTCGTTTTAACACAGTAAATTTTAGATGCTGAGAATAATTTAGAAAAATTCTATTAAATTCTATTAAATCAGTATTTAGTTAATATTTTTGAAAAAATCTCAATATTTAATTATTTCAGATTTATACACTGGATATAGACAGTCCAAATGATTGTGCGCAAAAATTTATATCCAATCACAGTTTAGGAATGTTATTGTTCTTTGGAATTGTTTTTGGCAATTTATATAAACATTATTTGAATGAAAATGCCAAGAATAACGTGAATGAAATTCAGTTAAACAAACAAAATATTAAAAATTTTAATCATAGTCAACCGTCTTATGTCGGTAATTAAAAAAAAAAAACAAAAATTATTATAATGTCCTTTCTTGCACAAGAATAGTTGATTATTTTATTACATAAATTTTTTTCTAAACGAATACAAATAGGTATATATAAAAAAAAATTGTAAAAAGCGACGAGTTAAACAATTTTTATCATGTAATTTAAATTGTTTGCCTTTAGTGCTTAAAGGAAACCAAAGAATATAATTACCAAGATAAAAACTTGAAAAAAAAAAATTAGGTAATGATAATCTTTTAATTATACAATAAATTGTTTTGTTTGCTATTTTAATATTTTTCTACAATTTATTTACATTGAAAATTGCGAAAATCATAAAAAAAAATCTGAAAAATAGTTTTTTTTTTTAAAGTTCCAAAAATGCATTTTAAAAAAGAGAATTAAAAATATTTCAAAAAAAAAAACCTGAAATTTTTATCACATTTCTTCGTAAAAAAAATTATTAACTAAAAAATGTTTTCTTTTATTTTTATTGTCAAAATAAAATATATTTTAAAACAAATTATATTCAATACATATTTTAAAGAAAAGCAAAAAAAAAAAAATTAACCTTCGACTTTAATTTCAGAAATTGTTTCCTCCTTTATTTCGTTTAATTTTAATTTTATTCTACGCTCCTCAAGCGCTGCGTTATAATTTTCTTGATTTAATAATTTCTTTTTTAAATCTTCAATAAGACGAATATTTGGCAATACAATTGCAAGATAACCACCTTTATGTGGCGGTTCATGAAGCAATGAAGGATCCTTGGCTAGAGATTCATTTACTTCGACTAATTTTCCAGTCATGCAACATTTAATCACATGTGTCTCGCCATTATCGCAAGTAATTGAACAAATATTCGAATTTTCTTGCAGTGGTTGCGCACCACGTTTTCCCTTTCCCGAAACTTGATTTTTTGTTCTGTCCAATTTTTCACTAACACGAAAATTTACATTCACTATCATTGATGATGGAGTGTGAAAAATTTGATGACTTGGCGCCAATGAAATCATACAAATTCGATTACTGTGAACACGAATGCAAATATCGTCACCGGGTTTTGTAACGTCAATTTTATAGAATGCAGTGAAATAACGATCGGTTACTGATTGCCATTTTGTGGATAAATCAACACCAGGTAACATTCCAAATGTTTCACAATTATCAGGAAAGGGAAATTTCGATTCATCATCGTCTTTTGTTTCATTGTCGGGGATAATATTCTCATCAAGTTCCACATTATTGCTTTTGTTATTAATTAAAAGTTTCATTTTTTTGCTTATTGGTTCTGTCATTATTGACCTTAATTAATAGTAATTAATACAAAATTTTTTTTTATAATTAAAACAAATTATTTCACTTTTTTTCGTCTCAAGACATTTGTAAAAGGAAAAAAAAAATGTTGAGTCTTTTTTCGCTGGATTTTTTTTGTGTTTTCCTCCCGATGTATTGATTATGCTGTAAAATAAATAAATTTATTTTAATATTTGGGAAAAAAAAAAATGTTTCATCACAAAAAAGTAATTTTAGGAATTTTAAGAGGCACGTGAAGAAACATAATTTAGAATTTTAATTTTTAAAGAATTCTATTAATTATTTATTAAGATGCGAATTTTGAATTTTTTTGAATTATCATTCGAGAGAATTTTTTTTTCAAATTTTTTACATTTGCAGGCCTCGGATTATACGACTTTTTCGACTATTTCCAACTTTTTTTTTCAAAAATACGACTTTTTTCGACTTATTTTAATAAAATGCGAATATTTCGACTTTTTTTTTACATTTTTTAAAAAATTTTTAAAAAAATATATATTTATTTTAGTATAAAATGCAGATCTTCTTCATATCTTCTTTATTTCAATTATTTAACAAAAATTCTTCACTAAATTAATTATTTTTAATAATTTTAATGAAATTCATCACAAATTTAATTATTTCAAATTATTTTTCAATAAAATTTTTTATAAAATTTAACAATTGTTTATAATTTAAAAAAATAACAAAAATAAAATTACCAAAAAATTTTAATTCAAAATCATAAATCAATTCAAAATCAAATAATAAAATTCAATTATTTTCAAAAATTTCAATTCAAAATCAACTAAAATTCAATTATTACCCAAAATTTCAATTCAAAATCAAAGAAAAATTCAATTATTTTCAAAATTTTCAATTCCAAATCTTTTAAAATTCAATTATTTTCCAAATTTTCAATTTAAAATCAGATAAAATTTAATTATTACCCAAAATTTCAATTCAAAATCAATTAAAATTCAATAATTATCCAAAATTTCAATTCAAAATTAATTATTATCAAAATTTTCAATAAAAAATCAACTAAAATTTAATTATTATTTAAAATTTCAATAATAATTCAATTATTTTCAAAAATTTGAAGTTAAAAGCTTCTAAAATTTTAAATTTTCCATCGAAAATTTTTTGAAATTTAACAATTTCAATTATTATCACTCTAAGGAAATTAAATTATTTTTAACTGTTTTTATAATATTCTTTGAAAATTCAACTATATGAAACCATTTTTCAAATTATTGTATTTTTGTCCGCAATTTCTAATAAATTTTTTAGTGAAATCATCAAAAATTTTTAATTAAAAATCACTTGAAGTTTAATTAATTTTAAAAAATCTCAATTGTAAATCTTTGAAAATTCAATTACATTTAAAAAATGTTATCTGAAATTATTTGATAAATTATTTTTAGTTCTGTAAAATTTAATTATTGTCTGAAAATTAATAAAATCTTTTAAAATTCAATTATTTCTAAAAATTTCAACTTTAACTATTCCAAAAGTATTATTTACAAAAAAAATTTTATTTAAAAATCTGTAAAATATTTTTGTTAAAATAAAAAAAATCGACTTTCTCGACTTTTTTTTGGAATATAAATCGACTAAAACGACTTTTTTTGTGCCTTTAAGTCGGTCCGAGGCCTGCATTTGCAGAATTTTTACGTAGGATTTAATTAAAATTTGAGATTTTCTTTTTATACGAATTTTTACAAAACAAAATTTTTAGCTACCATATTTTTGTTTTGTAGAATTTTTTATTTTACAGTAATTTTTTTTTTTAATTATTTTTTATGTCCAAAAATTCTAATTTAATAAAAGTACGTGTATTTTCTAAGAAATAATTATTTATTAACCGAATTTTTATTTTTCGAATTAAAATTTAACAAATTTTTTCTTTTTATACGAATTTTTGTGTAACAAAATTTTTAGCTACCGAATTTTTGATTGGCCGAATTTTTAATTTACAGTTTATTTAATTTACATTTTTTTTTTTTATTTTAAAGAATTTTAAATTAATCGAATTTTAATTAAAACAGAATCCACATTCAATTGAATTTTATGTGATTTTTACGAATTTTTTAAGACGCCGAATTTTCATTTGTCCGAAATTATTACAAATGGCCAAAGAAACAATCGATAGAAAAATTTTCGGAAGTAATTTTTTGAAAATTGACCAATTAGAAATTATCAAAAAAATTGTGATTGGTCAATTTTTAAAAATTGCGCCAAAAACTTTCTTTCGATTCTTTCTTCGGTTATTTATAATTTCGAAAAAATGAAAATTCGGCGTCTTCAAAAATTTTAGCAATTAAAAATTTCGACAATTGAAAATTCGATGAATTGGAATTTCTGTCATTTAAAAATTCGATTTAATGTGGATTATGTTAAAATTAAAATTCGATTAAATTCAAATTCTTTAAAAATAAAAAGTCATGTAAATTAAATAATTTTAAAATAAAAATTCGTCCAATCAAAAATTCGGTAGCTAAAAATTTTGTTAAATAAAAATTCGTATAAAAAGAAAAAAAACTGTTAAATTTTAATTCGAAAATAAAAAAAAAATATTCGTCTAAAAAATAATTATTTCTAATAAAATACAATAAAAAGTATAATCAATGATTTTTATAAAATTAATAAATAAATTGACAAATTTTGAAAGAAAAAATTTATTTTTTAAATAAATTTTACCATTTAGAAATGTATGTTTACATTTATAGGTTATATATAACCTATAAAAAAATTTGTTTTATAAACATTCGTAAATTTATAAGAAAAGAATTTGTTTTTAAATATTTTTCTCTAATTTTTGAAATGAAATTGAACAAACGATGGTAATCTTAAAATAATAAACATATTCTTTAACAAAAAAAAAAATAAATAAATAAATAAAAGAGCAATAAGTAAACAGAATTAATGTAATCTTACCTCTTTGTAACACTTTGTTAATTTATTAAATTAAAAATTACAAGGATACTGGGAGATAATTTAATTATTAAATTAACCAGTTTATTATTATTTATATAAGTATACAAAACTTTGTGTAAAATTAATAATACAAAATTTAAAAATATTTTATTGACAATTATATGGGCAGGGTTGAGAAGTTCCATAAAGAAAATTTCCATTTTGACTTTTTCATAAATTGGGATCTGAAATACTGCGATACGCCATCTGGTGACGACCTCGTTGTGTCAGCCATTTTTCGTTTCATCCTTTTTAAAATATATGTAGAAGAAAGAGATAAAAAATCAAGATGGCTGACGCAACGAGGTCAGTTTCCCCATAATTCCCTATTGGGATCTGAAATACTGCGATACGCCATCTGGTGAGAGCCTTGTTGTGGTGGCCATGTTTTCATTACGTGTTTCTCTAACATATACAAAAGAAAGAGATAAAAAACCAAGATGGTTGTCACAAGAAGGCTCAGGGGTGGGTCAGTTTCGCGTGATTTCTGATCCCAATGATTTCAGATCCCAATACATACACAAACTTGATTGGGAACGGTGGTCTAGTAACAATCTAGTAACTTTGACCCATTCTCTCCCTCCATTTTGTTTTTTCTACTCTTTCTAACCTATTAATTGAAGAGAGACAAAGAAAGAAAATGGAGGGAGAGAATGGGTCCCCACCAGATGGCGTATTGCAGTTTAAGGTGCTTATATACCTCAAATTTCGATCAGATGAACATTATTTCTGGACCGTGAAAATGCGTGAAAAGTCATTTTCACGGCGGGTATTTTTGAATTGTTTTAAACAAAAAATGTTTTTTTAAGAAATATAATATTAAATAATTGTTTTAATATGTAAGAACACTTTAAAATAGTGATAGAGAGATGATTTGATTACAAAATTTAGCAAATTTTGCTTTAAAACGTTTTCTGCTACAAGAAAGTGTAAAATGACGATGTTTGTGAAATGGTTTGTACAGTGTACATGTGTACATGTTTCTTTCAGTTATTCGAAACAATTAGTTGAATTTAAATTTATTTGATAAACATTTCAACTTACCGATTTATTTTCAGCACTCATTATTTATTACAAGTTAAAAAGAACCGACATAACATAAACAAAACTCTGAGAGACACTAACAAGGAAGAAGCACTGTACAAACCATTTCACAAACATCGTCATTTTACACTTTCTTGTAGCAGAAAACGTTTTAAAGCAAAATTTGCTACATTTTTTAATCAAATCATCTCTCTATCACTATTTTAAAGTGTTCTTACATATTAAAACAATTATTTAATATTATATTTCTTAAAAAAACATTTTTTGTTTAAAACAATTCAAAAATACCCGCCGTGAAAATGACTTTTCACGCATTTTCACGGTCCAGAAATAATGTTCATCTGATCGAAATTTGAGGTATATAAGCACCTTAACCATTGTGATTTTACCATTAAAATTGTGATTAGCAGTTTGCCATCTCTGCTTAATAGTGAGCAACTTCAGAGTAGTTGTATACATTAGAAATATAAACATGGCATCGTTTATTGGTTTTTCTCGACTTTTATCATTTGGAATAAATAATTGTGTAAAAAAGTTTAACAGTAATTTACTTTCCACACAAAACTCGTCAGGTTTGAATAAATTTTTTTCTCTAATTTAATTGTTTTTTTTTCAATTTATACGATTTATACCGCCTTTTATAACCTCACTTTTTATTATTTGTTACAATTTTAAAATTTAATATTATTTTATTAATAATATATTATATAATTGTTTAACTTTTTATTATGTTACATTTAAAATTTAGATTTTAAATTTACTGAAAAAAAAAATTATTATAAAAACGTATTTTTTTAAAAATAAATTTACAAGATTTATTTCATTTTTTGTTTATCAAAAATTATTTACAATTTTTTGTCAATTTTATTCAGAGATTGTTTTTTTTTATAAAATTTTGTTAAATCTATTGTTTCTTTCGTTGATTTAAATTGTAAAAAAAAAATTTACATCTTAATTTTGTAAAAAATTTTCTATTTTTAAAAAATTAAATTTATTCTTAACTTCTTGCAATGATTTTTTGCCCGTTCAAAAAAATTCATATTCAGTGTATTTTAATTATTATTATTATTATTATTATTATTTTAATAATTTATAAAAAAAATTGAAAATTAAAACAAAATAATTATTTTTCGAAAATTTTTTTTTTGTAAAACTAAAAAAAAAAACAAAATTTTTGATCAGTACAATTAGTTTTACAATTTTTCCATTAATTTTGTTCCGTTTTACTTTTTTAAAAAATTTTATTTTTTAATATTCACATTATTATTATTTTTTAATTATTTATTTTAAAATAAAGGTGATTTTTAATTTAAAAAAAAAAATTACTACTTTAAATTAAAAGAAAAAATTCTTTATTACCTATATTAAATTTTTTAAATACTGACCGACTTAAAAATTTATTCTTTTTTTTCAAATTTTAACATAAACAGTGAAATCTTTTTTATTTTTTCGGAAATAATATTTTTTTTTTTTTTTTAAAGAGCAAAAACAAAAATTTTGTGATTTAGAAAAAAAATGTTTCCTTTTTTTAAAACATTCGAAAAAATTTTTGGAAGTTAGAAAATTATTTTTGTTGTTTTAATAAATAATTATTGCCCGCGAATTTGAAAACTTGATAAAAATAACAAACATTAAAATAAAACTAAAATAATTAACCAAAATTACAAAAATATAATGAAAAATTTGTTGAATTTGTCTATAAATTAATTATTTTATTACAATATTGTTTACTAGTTAATTAAGAAAATTTAAAAAGAACTCTATAAAAATAACAAAATTAGGGACGCATAATTATGTTTTTAAAATCATTAGTTAGAATTTTAATTTTATGGAATTACATTTGTCATAATTATTTTTGAGCTGAATTTTTATTTTTTCGAATTAGTATTTTGCAGAATTTTTATCAAAACGAATTTCTATATAACACGAATTTTTATATAACCGAAAATTCACTTCACAGAATTTTTATTTATTCGAATTTTTATTTGTCAGAATTTTTATTTGCTTGAATTTTCATTTAACATAATAGACATTTTAAAGAATTTTTATTGGGTAGAATTTTCATTTTATTCTTTCAGATGAATTTTCATTAATTGTTCGAATTATTATTTGATATAATTTCCACACTGAAAAAAAATTTATTTGATTCAAATACCGGTGTATTTGGTTATTATCAAATAAATATTTACTTGAATCAAATATTTCAGTATTTGTAGCAAATACCATTTATTTGATTCAAATAAGAAATATTTGATTCAAGTAAATATTTATTTGATAATAACCAAATACACCGGTATTTGAATCAAATAAATTTTTTTTTCAGTGCATATAACCGATTTTTCACACTAAAGAATTTTTAATTTAACCGAAAAATCATTTAACATAATTTCTAATTGATAGAATTTTCATTTGTCCGAAATTCTAAATGACCGAAGCAATAATCGATTTTGGCGCGATTTTTAAAATCAACCAATCAAAAATTATCCATAAAATTGTGATTGGTTGATTTTAAAAATCGCGCCAAAATCGATTGTTGCTTCGGTCATTTACAATTTCGGACAAATGAAAATTCTATTAATTAGAAATTCTGTCAAATGATTTTTCGGTTAAATTAAAAATTCTGTAGTATGAAAAATCGGTCATATAGAAATTATATCAAATAATAATTCGAACAAATGTAAAATTCATCTGAAAGAATAAAATGAAAATTCTATTCAATGAAATTCCATCAAATAAAAATTCTTTAAATTGCCTATTATATTAAATGAAAATTCGAGCAAATAAAAATTCTGACAATTAAAAATTCGAACAAATAAAAATTCTGTTAAATAAATTTTCGGTTATATAAAAATTCGTGTTATATAGAAAATCGTTTTGATAAAAATTCTGCAAAATAGTAATTCGAAAAAATAAAAATTCGACTCAAAAATAATTATGACAAATGAAATTCCATGAAATTAAAATTCTAACTAATAATTTTTAGAACATAAGCATGCGTCGCCAAAAATTAACTAATTTTTTAATTTAAAAAAAAATGCATTAAGATATATTAATTATATAATAAATATATATATATATGCAATAATTACTTCGCTAGTTTAAATAAATAAAATAATTATCTAATAACAGTTCACAGATTAGGAAATACAGAAATTGTTAGATTAAAACATTATTTACCATGGTTTGTGGATCGTGTAGAATATAAACCAGTGGTACCCAATCTAACAAGTGAAGACGAACAACTTGCAGATGGTAATTAATAAAATACAAATAAAATTATTCCAAGTTTTTAAACAAAAGTTTCCTTAAAAAATAATTTCAATTTAAATTCAGAATTTTTCTTTAATTTAATTTTTGACTTATTTGAATATTCACTCACTAGTATTTTGATTTAATCGAAATCACATTTAATAGAATTTTCATTTAATAAAAATTTTTAAATAATTAAAAATTTGATTAGATAAAATTTTTATTGAACAGAATTTTTAGTTTATAGAATTTTTCTGTATTAAATATTGTTTATTTAGAAAAATTCTAATTAACTAGGTTTTAATTTAATAGAATTTTACCGAATTTTCATTTGTCTCAAGTTTTATTCACATGAATTATTATTATTATTATTATTATTTGATAGAATTCTGAAAACGCCGAATTTTCACATTTGACCGAAATTAAAAATGATCGAACAAACAAAAATTGAAAGGAAAGATTTTTAAAATTGATCAATCAGAAATCCAAAAATTGTGATTAATTAATTTTAAAATTCATGCAGAAATTTTTTTTTTCGATTGTTTGTTCGATCATTTTTAATTTCGGCCAATTGTGAAAATTCGGCGTTTTAAAAATTCTATGAAATAACAATTTTTTAGGCAAATAAAAATTCAGACAAATTAATATTCGATGAATTTGAAAATCAGGTATTTAAAAATTCGTTTAAATTAGAATTGTTTTAAATATATTTTTTTTAAAATAATAAATTTTGTTAATTCGAAAAAATAAAAATTCAGCTAAAAGAAAATTCTATTAAAATTATTTGAAATTAATTTTGTCTGATATCTATATACTCTCCGTTTAAGGGTTTATTCATTTACCTGATTGAAAAATAAAAATATTTATCTTAATGAAATAATGTTTATCGCAGAAAATGATTGTTCATTTATTTTGTTGTTATTGTTTAAAAATAGATGTAATAGCTGAAATTAACAAACAAGTTGCAACTGAGAAAGCAGGTCGACTTTTTGCAGTGGTTCACGTTTGTGGAAAACAATTTAAAGTAACAACAAATGATATTATTGTTATACAAGGTTATTGGCCACCAAGTGCGGGAGATGAATTGAGACTTGAAAAAGTTTTACTTGTTGGTAGTAGTGATTTTACTCTCATTGGACGACCAATTCTTAATAATGAATTGGTGAATGTTGAGGCGACAGTTATTGAAAAAACATTTTCATCAACAAAAACAATATTTAAATTTAAACCAAGGAAACAGTATCGTAGAATTAATTGTAAGTTTAATAACAAAAGGGACGGTAAAAATTGATTAAAAATATAATCAAAGCAACAAAGTTTTTTAGTTATTAAAAAGATTAAACTATAAGAATTGTATTTTAATTAAAACTAAACTGATTTTTTTTTTACATTTCAGTTACAAGAGAACAACAAACAATGTTGAGGATAAAGTCGATAAATGTCATTGGAAAAGTGGGAGAGAAAAAGGAAGTCGAGGGTCTTGAAAAAGTCTTTTAGTTATTAAATATCCTGTATAGAAATCCAATTTATAATGTAATGTTTATATAAAGAATGCTTGTTAAAAAATCATTTTTCAATTTGCATTTATTTTAAAAATAATTATTAATTCATTGATAATAATAATTTTTGTATTCAAGGTCTTTCCGACTTACAACACTAATTGTAAAAAATAGTGGAAAAATTCGTGGAGAAGTTTTATAAATTTGAATGAAATTTCGTTGTGATTTGAAGGAAAAAAAGTGAAATCGAATTTTTTTTTTTTTGCATAAATAGTCAGCTTATGTATTCAAAAGTATGTTGAAAAAGTTTTTACAGCGAAATTCGGTGTCCTTTCAGTGCTACAGGCAATGAATGAAGCTTGCTCCAAGTAGCGAAGCAGGTTAGTAATGGCTTCGCTGAGGAAGTCCCTTTTTGAATTTATGATTTGACTTATGAAGAAGATAAAGGACTAATGTATGGTGCAGGAATAGTAGATTAAAGTGTAAGCACTTTAAATGGTTTTTTTCTTATCATTATTTTCAAATTTTCGATACTTTTTTCAAACGCTTTCTCCAAACAGGATTTTTTGCTTTTAGATCAAATTTGTGGACTCCACCTTGCACAGCAATCATAAACTCAGACGGCACAGCTCCAGGTTTAATGGCTGCTAACTTGGAATGTTTTTAATAAAAATGCTTAAAAATAAATTGTGAGACACAGATAAATATATGTGCAACATAATGTCATTATTGCATTTCATTTAAAAAATTTTATCCCTTTTGAAAAAAATTCCGAAAAACCGCTAAAAAATAGCGTCGTAATGTGATTTCCCCTTTTAATTGAGAGTCAAGAACGCTAGAAACAAAAGATAGAATAGAATTCTGGTTTTTAGGATGTAATGTGGACTGTAATAAAAAACTGAAACAGTATTTAAATTTAATAAATTACTTTTTTTTACAAAGAATAACAATTTCGAAACACGTTTTCGCTCAAAGCTCTACGCTTACAGACTAACTGTAATAAGGTCTTTCAAAGTCGAGAATTTGGAAAATAAAGAAAACATAAATTAAAGTAAGAAAAGAAATTCTTATCAATCGCAAAGAAAAAGAAAATATAAAGAGAATTAAATTTAGAATTAACAGAAATTATCATCTGATTTAAACAAATCTTGAACATCATTGATTGTTCTCGTTATCGTAACCTTTTAACTAAAAAATTTTGTTGAAAAATGGTCAAAAATAATATTTATTTAAAAAAAATTTTTAACGGTAATTGTCGTTATTTCAAATTTCGCGCCAAAACTATTATGAAACTTGCGCAATAAATTAAATACTACAATTTATTATAAAATAAGTCTCTTTTATATTTATTATTTATTTTATCATATATTCTTTTTAAGGAAAAAAAATTCACTTTTTTCTATATTCGTTTTGTTTTTATTTTCAATTATATATGTATACAATCATTACATTGTATTTTAAAAATGGCGTTGATGAGAAACAACACCTGATAAAATTCAGCCTTGTTACACTATTTTTTTTCGCCTATAAAGATAATTATTCTAGTCAAGTGTCGTAAAAATGAAGAGAAAAAATTTACCTCTCCCCTCTTTTATTGTTAAAAGAAATCAGTCATAGGTGCTTTGAATGTACATATAGAAGAGAACGTTTTATTGAAATAACTAATCCTCAGTAAGTATTGACTTTTGCTTTCATTCTAGATATCGTCTGCTATTCCATTGTTTTTCTTGTTTTCTTTTAAAACATTTCTTATCAAGTTATCATCATAAATACAAATTGTTCATCGTCTTATCATTTATCCGGTTTGTGAATTATATTATATTTACATTTTTCAAACTAAATTTATTGTTTTTCTTTCTTTTTATTATATAATTTCAAGGTTATATTGATTTTAGGTTTTTAGATTTTTCATTTTTTTTTTTGAAAAAATTACTGTAACTATTTTAATTAATTTTTTTTCGACTTATTGTAAAATAATATTTTATGGACATTCATAAAATATGTGGACGCATGATTATATTCTAAAAATCATTAGTTAGAATTTCATTTGTCATTATTGAGCCGAATTTTTATTTCTTCGAATTAGTATTTTGCAGAATTTTTATCAAAACGATTTTCTATATAACACGAATTTTTATATAAACGAAAATTTACTTAACAGAATTTTTATTTGTTCGAATTTTTATTTGTCAGAATTTTTATTTGCTCGAATTTTCATTTAACATAATAGGCATTTTAAAGAATTTTTATTTGGTGGAATTTCATTGCATAGAATTTTCATTTTATTCTTTCAGATTAATTTTCATTAATTGTTCGAATTATTATTTGATATAATTTTCATATAACCGATTTTTCACACTAAAGAATTTTTAATTTAACCGAAAAAGCATTTAACAGAATTTCTAATTGATAGAGAATTTTCATTTGTCCGAAATTGCAATTGTCCGAACAATCGATTTTGGAGCGATTTTTAAAATCAACCAATCAAAAATTATCCATAAAATTGTGATAAGTTGATTTTAAAATTCGCGCCAAAATCGATTGTTGCTTCGGTCATTTACAATTTCGGACAAATGAAAATTCTATCAATTAAAAATTCTGTTAACCCTTTGCGGTATGGTGGGACGCTGAGCTTCCCACCTTTTTTTTCGTTTTTTAATTATTTTAGTAAAAAATGACCAATAAATGTCGAAATTTTTTATGTTTCCAGGCATAATAGCATACAAATAAATAAAAAAAAAATTATTTTAGTTGAAAATTAATAAAAACAAACTTGTTTAACTTTCACAAAACAACAAAATTACTACTTTTTAAAATAAAAATGCAATTTCTGTTAATCTATATTGAAAATTAAATTATAAATTTTTTTTACAATCAGAAACGTCTAAAATTAATTTTAGAATTTTTTGTACATATTCTGCATTTCATTTTTTTAAACAAATTGATTTTTCTTTTTAAAAATTATAAATAAATTAATATTTGACCCACAAATTTTTAAAAATTCACTTAAAACATGTTATTTTTGGGTTTTTGGGGTCGCTGATAACGAATTCGGTGTCAGATTTTAAAAATTGAAAATGGCGGATTCAATATGACGAACGAATTTTTGAAAATCAAATGCAATTCGGTTAAAACTTCTTACTCGGAGGTTTTCGGGGTCACTGATTACGAATCCGTTGTCCGTTTTTTAAAATTCAAAATGGCGGACGACTTTTAGAAAATCAAATGCAATTCACTTGAAACTTGTTACTCGGGGGTTTTCAGCGTCGCTGATTATGAATCTGAGGTCAGTTTTTCTAAATTCAAAATGGCGGATCCAAAATAGCGGACGAATTTTTAAATTTTGAAGAAGTAACATCAGATTTGTAACCAGCAATCCCAAAACCCCCGAGTAACGATTTTCAAGCGATACGGAACGATTTTTAAAAAATTCTTCCTCCATATTGCATCCGCCATTTTGAATTTTTTAAATGTTACACCGAATTCGTAATCAGCGACATTAAAAATGTATAAATGATGTATGACTAAAGGATGGTATTGTGATTGTTAATTCGTACCTTAAAGAGTTAAATGATTTTTCGTTTAAGTAAAAATTCTGTTGTATGAAAAATCGGTTATATTGGAAATTATTTCAAATAATAATTCGAACAAATGTAAAATTCATCTGAAAGAATAAAATAAAAATTCTTTAAAATGCCTATTATGTTAAATGAAAATTTGAGCAAATACAAATTTCTGATAAATAAAAATTTGAACAAATAAAACTTCTGTGATGTTAATTTTCAGTTATATAAAAATTCGTGTAATATAGAAAATCGTTTTGATGAAAATTTTGCGAAATACTAATTCGAAAAAAATAAAAATTCGGCTCAAAAATAATTATGACAAATGAAATTTCATAAAATGACGATTTTATCTAACGATTTTTAGAACACTACCTTTAAATTTAAAATTTCTTTAAGACATTTAATGTCTGACGCAAAAGATGTTATATTTTTTCATTATTGCAATTATGACAATTAACATTGAAAATATTTGATCTCTTTTTTTTTACAGAGATGCCGGAACATGTGGAATTGGAGCATTTAGTCGACGGCGATATTGAACGTCGTAATAATTTAAATACATTTCGAAAACAACTTTATCCCAAATGTAAAACTTGTCCTTATTTGGGATTGGTTTTGGCGACAATATCGTCTCTTTTTTTTTCTCTTTGCAGTGTAATAGTAAAGGGTCTAGTTGATATAAATCCAATGGAACTCGCTGCCTTTAGATTTGTTGGCGTTTTATTGCCAACGATTCCAATTTTAATCTACAAAGGTGAACATCCATTTCCTAGGGGGAGAAGATTTATGTTAATTTTACGAAGTTTTGTTGGAACAACAGGACTTATGCTCAGCTTTTATGCTTTTCGGTAAGAATAATTTTTGCATTTACAACTATTGATTAATTTTATAACAATGTATATATATATATATATATATATATATATATATATATATATATATATATATATATATATATATCTATCTACCTATATTACAAAAAGATATCGCCGCCGCCGCCGCCGCTGTTCCAAGACTCTGAATATAGCCGCAAGTAAAGAGAAGGGGGGTAGAAGGGAGGGGAGGGGACTTGCGGCTATATTCAGAGTCTTAAAACGATATTAACCTCTAAATTTAGGGTGGGGGGAGGAGAAAAGGAGGGGAAGAGAGGAGGGGGATGGGGGTTGGGGCGCGAAGCCGCTGCCGCTGCCGCCGCTGTTCTAAGACTCTGAATATAGCGGCAAGTCAAGAGAAGGGGGGTAGAAGAAAAGGGAGGGGGGACTTACTTATTACTTACTTACTTACTTACATATTCAGAGTCTTGAAACGATCTTAACCTTTACATTTAGGGTGGGGAGAGGGGAAAAGGAGGGGAAGAGAGAAGGGGGGATGGGGGTTGGCGCGCGAAGCGCGCAGGGGGCATAGCCCCCTAGTATATATATATATATATATATATTGTTATAAAATTAATCAAATAGTGGAAAACTATTTTTCCGTGATTTAGAAAGATTCAGAGAATTTTCAGAAATATTGTAAATCGCTTCTAAATTAAATTATCAAATTAAATTAAATTCTAAATTAAATAATTGCCAAAGAATCACGAAAACTTCGGTTTACCCTTACTTTTTTTTTCTTCTATCAAACGTTTCATGTAAGCTTCATAGTCGTCTCCTATTTACCCTAAAATATTTTTTAAGATCACTGTGAGTGACTATACACCGCAATGAGAAGAGAAACATTGTCATGCAAAAGTGAGAAACTTTTCTCCTCGATGAGTGAGTGAAATCAAGGTTGCCAACCTAGAAGACGTGTTGGTAAGGTAGGTATTGAATTTTTTCTTAAGAAACTATTCAATACCTACCTTACCAACACGTCTTCTAGGTTGGCAACCTTGATTTCACTCACTCATCGATGAGAAAAGTTTCTCACTTTCGCATGACAATGTTTCTCTTCTCACTGCGGTGTATAGTCACTCTATGAAGTCTGTTTATGTTTAAAATTTATTATTAATTTTCTATTAATTTTTCTGGTGCCTGCGATTTTATTAAATAAATAAAGTATAATTAAATTTGTAATGTTTAAAGTTTTATATAATTAAAGAACCCCGCACCAAAAAAGCATGGAAAAAAAAGTTCTCGGCTAAATTTTTTTAAACTCTGCACATTTGTAGCTTATGACCTCCTGAACAAAAAATGTTAATGCCAAAAACCAAAAAAAATGGACAGTTTTTTTTTAGTAATATGCTATGTCTATGTTTCTTTTGCACTATTTACTGTTTACGTTTTGCCAAGCTTTGTTCGATTTCCGTAATTTTTAGTTTTTTAATCGCATATTACTAAAAAAAACTGTCAATTTTTTTTGGTTTTTGGCATTATTTTTTGTTTAGGAGGACATAAGCTACAAATGTGCAGAGTTTAAAAAAATTTAGCCAGGAACTTTTTTTCCATGCTTTTGATGCGGAGTTCTTTTCTATATGATTTTTTTAGTAGAGTTTTCATTATTACAATAATAATTTATAATTTTTCATAAATTAAATTAATTTTACAGACACATGCCCTTGGCTGACGCTTCGGTGGTCGTCTTTTCAGTACCTGTATTTGTGGCGATATTTGCAAGAATATTTTTAAAAGAGCCATGCGGACTATTCAATGTTATCACTGTTTGTTTAACATTGATTGGTGTTGTTCTCATTACAAGGCCACCGTTAATTTTCGGTCATACGGTAAAATCACTTTCCGACTCGCAAAATGAAACAGACGTCGCTGATGTTTGGGGTGCAATTGCCGCTTTTTCAGCAACAATATTTGGCGCCAATGCTTATGTTCTTCTTCGTGCTTTAAAGGGTCTTCATTTTTCAGTAATTATGACAAATTTTGGTTCATTTGCACTTATTCAAACAATCATGTATTCATGGGCAATTGGCGCTCTTTGTTTACCACGTTGTGGAACCGATAGACTTCTTGTTGTTGCATTAGCATTTTTTAGTTTTGGTGGACAAATTCTTCTTACATTATCCCTTCAAATGGAACAGGCAGGACCTGTTGCCATTGCAAGATCAGCGGATATTGTTTTTGCCTTTTTATGGCAAGTGTTATTCTTCAACGAAATACCAAATAAGTATTCAATAGGAGGCGCTATTCTAGTCACAAGCTCAGTTCTTCTCACGGGTTTGAGAAAATGGGCAATTTCTCTGCCTGAAAATTCAACATTAAAAAAATCCCTTGGAATATTAGCGATGTAGAAAAAAGGAAACATTCATGAGCTCAAATCTTTAGATATAATTAAAAAAATGAAAATGAGGCTCTCCAAATATTTGGAAAATATTTATTAATTATTAAAAAAAAATTATTATAGCTGTCAGTGCGATGTGTCTGGAACAAATGTTTTTAAATCAATTTTTTTTTTTTTATTCGAATTTTTTCTTCCTTAAGAAGTGGTAATTCTCCAAATTTATTGAAAATTGCATATAAAATAAGTTTTGTAGAAAACATTTTTAAAAGAGAGTTTTAGATTTACTTTGTAATACTAGAAAAAAAATTGCAATTCTCCTAATGCTAAACTTGATACCATTTACGTAAATATCATACAAAATCTTTGGGTCTTCTATTCAGAAATCACTTTTTAAAGTGATAGGAAACATTAAAGCTATATATCATATAAAAACAGACAATTTTAAATATTATTTGATACTCTAAATATTTAGTCAATGGATAATCATTTTTATAGGTATGTTTAAAAAAATGCACAAATTGAGAAGAAAGTACATAATGTTTAAAAAGTTCTTACTATTTAAATTTTTTAAAAATTCAAAATGGCGAATCCAATATGGCGGCCGTTTTTAAAAATCATTCAAAATACTTTGAAACTTGTTACACGTGGGTTTTTGGGGTCACTGATTACGAAACAAATGTCAGTTTTTCAAAATTAAAAATGGCGATCAAAACAAATTATTTTAGAATTTTTTTTTTTAATTTTTAACTACATTTATTGACGAGTCATTGTCAGTCATTAATAATATTTTTTTTAATATAACATTTGATAGTTTTTTTAAATTATCGTTTTACGATAATTTTTCTAATTTTCAAATAACTTGTATACAGTTGAATTTATAGTTTTTTTTTTTTAATAAACTAGTTTGGCTTCCACAGTATGTAAAAGAAAAGCTCTTCCTTTTTTATCAAAATATTCCAACATTGTCCACTTACATTCTTTTTTTTTGTATAAAAGACGTGAATTTTAAAATATAGAAAATAATATGCCTAAGTAAAAATGTGAATATCACAGTGAATGATTTTTTATATAAGTTTTTAATAGTTCCTATTTGTATTGTTCTACAGCGTAATTTCTATATCTACATCAATTATAATGAGAAAATTAAAAACACTTTTTTTAAAAAGAAAGAGCCATCTTTCTTAAAGAAATTGTTCCGATTTATATTCTTAAAAAAGAAAAAAGTATTGAAATTTTCTTTTTTGAAATAATAATTTTTTTTTTGAATATTTAAAATCTATTTAGTAAATTAATTGAATTTTTAATTGACATTATTTTAAATAGTTTTCAAAGTCAACAGTTACGAAATTTCTTTTAATAAAATTAAAAATTAATTTAATAAAAATTTCACTATCATATAAATTTTATAAGTTAATTGAGTTAATTATATCTGAATAGTAAGGAAATTATTGAAAAATAACAAAATTTTTTTTGGACGTTCACTTATGTATTATTGAATTTAAAATTGAGTGCAATATAGACTTAATTAAATATTAGTGAAAAGCGCCTGAAAATAATAATATCAATAAACTTTATAAACGATAAATAGAATAAAATAAATTTGTTAATTTTCCGATAATGTATTTTTATTAAGTAGATGAAAATTTTGTGAGAGAGACTAAACACCAGAACACTAATTTTATCGAAATTGTTTCATAAAATATAATAATAATCCTTCATATGTAAGTGTCTACAAAATATTTCATAAATACAAAAATAAATTAAAAAGAAAGTAAAGTATCATTAATTTTATTTTTTAATTATTCAACGATTTTAAATTAAATCTAATATTTATTATTTTCTTACTTTTCAAGAAATTAAAATATAACAATTTTACATAAACTTGTATATAATATAATTCATAATTAGGCACTGCATATGAATAAAATTTCTGTAATAATTTTCAAGGGCTTATAAAATGTGTTCAATCTCTCTTGGAGTTAATTTAATGGTAATAATTTTCCTTTAAATATAGGAAAAATGCCTTAGAATGCACTTGTAAATTTTTTTCACCAATATAAAAAAAAGAAAAAAACAGTTGTGCTATTATTCACTTAATTAATCTTAGATGCGCAAAGTGTGATATTATTTAAATTCCTCAGACTGATCATTGTAAAATAGTTTTTAAATAGAAATAGTCTCGCTATATAAAATTTATAAAAAAAAAATAAAGATTCTTAAACATGAATTTAATAATTATAATAAAAAAATTTCCAAAGAATTTAAATAAACAATTTTAATTTCATTTTTAGAATATTTATTTAGTTTTAACAGATTTTTGGTATTTAAAATAATTGTGAGTTTAATAAATCTGACAAAGTACCAAAGGAAGCATTGAATATTTTAATTTAATTAAATTTCTTTTCTATTTTGAAAATTAAGTCTGTCACTAAAAAATCAACTTATTGTATAGTTATTTTTTACACAAAATTGTAATTGTATCGTTTGGCTACATGTGTTTTAATATTTTAAACTTGTATTTGATTGTATATTTAAGAATAAAATTGTTTTAATTAACAGTTTGTAAATACAGAATGTGAATTTGTCGGACATTATTGCAAAAAATGTGTGTAAACATATTCTACTGCATATTATTCTGAAATAAAGATTGTTATATTCTAAAACACAATTTACATGCATTAAACAACTTAAATAAGAGAAAAATTTGTGGTCTTCTATTATTATATTCCCTTTATCATTAGTAACCAATAAACAAAAAAAAAAGTTTCATTTATTTAAAATGGATATTTTTTTCACTCGGAAAAAGTGTAAGAATAAAATTCAAAATGGAAGATCCAATATGGCGGAGAATAAATTTAAAAATTCATTCAATTGGCCTGAATTTTGTCATCCTGGGGGTTTTCGGGATCGCTGATTATGAATTTGAAGTAACTTTTAAAAATTCAACATAGCGGATCAAATATGTCGAACGAAAAATTTTAAAAGTCATTAAATAGCTTAAATCTTGACTCTCGGAGGTTTTTGAAGTCACTGATGACAGATATGCAATTACCTCTTCAGTTGTAATAAAAGACATCTGCTAAACGACGTCGACTACTAAAACAAAATTGAAATAGGTACATTTTTAGTAATTTTTTTCGACACTTATAAATTTATATTGTGCAAGAAATTGCAATAAAGTAGTCTGCCTAAGAAAGATTAAATTTTTTTGGAAATTTTTTTTTGGACCTGGATGACTTTTTGGTGGTAATAGAGGTCTTCCTCTACTCGGATTTGGCTGTCGATTTTTTTTTACACTTTTAGGTGTATTTTGTGCAAGAATATGCAATAAAATCGTCTGCCTATGAAAAATTGAGGTTTTTTGGAAATTTTTTTTTTTGACCTGGATGACTTTTTGGTGGTAATAGAGGTCTTCCTCTACTCGGATTTGGCTGTCGATTTTTTTTTACACTTTTAGGTGTATTTTGTGCAAGAACATGCAATAAAATCGTCTGCCTAAGAAAAATTGAATTTTTTTGGAAATTTTTTTTTGGACCTGGAATTTTTTTGGTGGTAATAGAGGTCTTCCTCTACTCGGATTTGGCTGTCGATTTTTTTCTACACTTTTAGGTGTATTTTGTGCAAGAATATGCAATAAAATCGTCTGTCTAAGAAAAATTGAATTTTTTTGGACCTGGATGACTTTTTGGTGGTAATAGAGGTCTTCCTCTACTCGGATTTGGCTGTCGATTTTTTTTTACACTTTTAGGTGTATTTTGTGCAAGAATATGCAATAAAATCGTCTGTCTAAGAAAAATTGAATTTTTTTGGACCTGGATGACTTTTTGGTGGTAATAGAGGTCTTCCTCTACTCGGATTTGGCTGTCGATTTTTTTTTACACTTTTAGGTGTATTTTCTGCAAGAATATGCAATAAAATCGTCTGCCTAAGAAAAATTGAATTTTTTTGGAAATTTTTTTTTGGACCTGGAATTTTTTTGGTGGTAATAGAGGTCTTCCTCTTCTCGGATTTGGCTGTCGATTTTTTTTTACACTTTTAGGTGTATTTTCTGCAAGAATATGCAATAAAATCGTCTGCCTAAGAAAAATTGAATTTTTTTGGAATTTTTTTTTTTGACCTGGATGACTTTTTGGTGGTAATAAAGGTCTTCCTCTACTCGGATTTGGCTGTCGATTTTTTTCTACACTTTTAGGTGTATTTTGTGCAAGAATATTCAATAAAATCGTCAGCCTAAGAAAAATTGAATTTTTTTGGAAATTTTTATTTGGACCTGGATTTTTTTTGGTGGTAATAGAGGTCTTCCTCTACTCGGATTTGGCTGTCGATTTTTTTCTACACTTTTAGGTGTATTTTGTGCAAGAATATGCAATAAAATCGTCTGTCTAAGAAAAATTGAATTTTTTTGGACCTGGATGACTTTTTGGTGGTAATAGAGGTCTTCCTCTACTCGGATTTGGCTGTCGATTTTTTTTTACACTTTTAGGTGTATTTTGTGCAAGAATATGCAATAAAATCGTCTGTCTAAGAAAAATTGAATTTTTTTGGACCTGGATGACTTTTTGGTGGTAATAGAGGTCTTCCTCTACTCGGATTTGGCTGTCGATTTTTTTTTACACTTTTAGGTGTATTTTCTGCAAGAATATGCAATAAAATCGTCTGCCTAAGAAAAATTGAATTTTTTTGGAAATTTTTTTTTGGACCTGGAATTTTTTTGGTGGTAATAGAGGTCTTCCTCTACTCGGATTTGGCTGTCGATTTTTTTTTACACTTTTAGGTGTATTTTCTGCAAGAATATGCAATAAAATCGTCTGCCTAAGAAAAATTGAATTTTTTTGGAATTTTTTTTTTTGACCTGGATGACTTTTTGGTGGTAATAAAGGTCTTCCTCTACTCGGATTTGGCTGTCGATTTTTTTCTACACTTTTAGGTGTATTTTGTGCAAGAATATGCAATAAAATCGTCTGCCTAAGAAAAATTGAATTTTTTTGGAAATTTTTATTTGGACCTGGATTTTTTTTGGTGGTAATAGAGGTCTTCCTCTACTCGGATTTGGCTGTCGATTTTTTTCTACACTTTTAGGTGTATTTTGTGCAAGAATATGCAATAAAATCGTCTGTCTAAGAAAAATTGAATTTTTTTGGACCTGGATGACTTTTTGGTGGTAATAGAGGTCTTTCTCTACTCGGATTTGGCTGTCGATTTTTTTCTACACTTTTAGGTGTATTTTGTGCAAGAATATGCAATAAAATCGTCTGCCTAAGAAAAATTGAATTTTTTTGGAAATTTTTTTTTGGACCTGGATGACTTTTTGGTGGTAATAGAGGTCTTCCTCTACTCGGATTTGGCTGTCGATTTTTTTTTACACTTTTAGGTGTATTTTGTGCAAGAATATGCAATAAAATCGTCTGCCTAAGAAAAATTGAGGTTTTTTGGAAATTTTTTTTTTGACCTGGATGACTTTTTGGTGGTAATAGAGGTCTTCCTCTACTCGGATTTGGCTGTCGATTTTTTTCTACACTTTTAGGTGTATTTTGTGCAAGAATATGCAATAAAATCGTCTGCCTAAGAAAAATTGAATTTTTTTGGAAATTTTTTTTTGGACCTGGATGACTTTTTGGTGGTAATAAAGGTCTTCCTCTACTCGGATTTGGCTGTCGATTTT